TTTCCGGGGGGGTGGGCTCTCGAGTGAATATGGCTGCTTCAAGCCAAAATGGCCGACTTTCTGTTTTTATTCTCGGTATATCTGCGAAGACTTTTTGCGTGTGATCTTTTGTCCACCAAATGTTGTGGCAGTTGGTGAAACTGGTGTTGGGAGTCGTGGATTGGGGGGGGGTATTTATTTTTTTAAATGTTTCCAGGAGTAGCTACTGAGTGAATATGGCTGGTTCAAACCAAAATGGCTGACTTCCTGTTCAATTTTGAGCATGAGTGTTTGAGACTCTCTTATATGACCTGTTAGGATAGACGTGTTCACCCAATTTTGTGTCGATTGATGAAACCAATGTCGCAGGAAATATATTTTTTTCTAATGTCCCAGGAGGAGCTACTGAGTGAATATCGCTTTTTCAAAATGGCCGACTTCCTGTCTGAAACCTGTTATGACATCCATATCTGCCCAATTTCGAGTCATGTGGTGGAACTGGAGTCAGGGGGGGCCACTAAGTGACTTTTTAGTGTCTTTTGTATTCAGGACCCAGATTATTATATATATATTTTTTTACCAGAATGCTTGAATTCTCAAGCATCTCAAAGTCCCTAAAAATGGATTCGTGGGTTGCAAGAATAACAACGCAGAGATTCCACGAGGGCCCCAACAATCATGGAGACAATATATGAGTCACAATGCTAACAACAAATAAAATATGACAGAAATGCATCCAATCGTATCACAACAATGATGGCGAAACCTCGGCCCACCAGATCTGGAAGTGTTTTTGTGCTTTGGGGGGTCCGCGGGTATTGATTATGAGACTGGTATGCATAAGGCAAAAAATATGGGGGAAAGAAAAGCAAGAAATGTGTGTTTGTGGCACCTTTTGTTGTTTTTACACCACCTCCTAAATTCTAAAGGCACCTGCACACATCCGATACAACCAAAATCTTTTTTTTTTGTGTGTGTGTGTTTTTTTTTTTTTTTTGTCTGTGTAATGTAACGTACAAAGACATGCTGTAAACATGATTCCCGTGACGCTGCGTGTTGTAGAAAACCTGAATGGAGGCAGACATACGCCGGCCCGTGTTCACAATGTAAACATGGCGGTGTGCAGGGTTTTTCCCCACCCCCTCCCCCGGCCCCACTTCATCCCCTCCTCTGACTGAACCTGATCGATAACAAAAAAAACAAACAAAAACAACCAGTGGATGAAAACAAACTGGAATCTCATTCCCGGACCGTCCAACGGACACATTTTTAGCCTTACGATAACACCGCCCCCACCCGTGGGTCCAATAAAAACCTCCAAACCAGCCATTCAATACATTCTGCGCTTCATGTAGATCCTCTCGATAAAGTTCTCCAACTCCTCCTCACTGTCCAGCTGAGGCAGCAGTCCGTCTTCCTCGTAGTCGTCGTCCCGCGTGGCGGCCGGTTGGTAGTAGAAGGGGGGCCGCCTGCCTCGGCGGGGCGGGGCCAGCGGTTTGGGGGGCGGCGGGGGCTGGTAGGTCCGTGGGTGGGGCAGGATATAGTTAGAGATGTAAGGTGCGTCGGGGAGGCGGGGCGCCGGCCTCTGCCTCCAGCCCTGACCCCGGTTCTTGCCCTGACCCCTGTGCCTGCGCCGGGGACTCTGTGGATCAAGCTCCTGGGTGTTGAAGGCCTGGTCCCGGGCAGGCGGGGGCTTGCCATAGTACTGCGGCTTGGGGGAAGGGAAGTAGACGGGGTAGTACGCCCGATATGGCTTCTGGTAGTACGGGTAGGAAGGGAAGGCGAGGAACTGCTTCTGGGGCATGTACCAGTAGTCGATGGGGGTCTGAGGCTGGTACCAGAAGTCCTTTTTGCGCGACTTGCTTTTGTCCTTCTGCCACTTCTTCATGGACTTGTAGGATGCCTTGTGGGGGGCTTTGTAGAGGGCTTTCTTGGGGTTTTTGGATGCCGTGTAGTGGTAGACGGGCGGCGGCGCCGCCAGCGGGGGAGGCACCAGGGGCCGGAAGCGGGGCACCACCGGTAGGGCGGCGACCGCGGGGAGCTGCTGCTGAAGTTCTTTCCGCTTCTTTTTCTTCTCCTCCACGTCGCTGATGATCTCGATGACGTCGTCGGCCGGCAGGTGCAGCTTGCTGCTGATCTCGATGAGCCGGTCGATCATCTGCTGGTCCAGGTCGTCCTCGTCCTGGTCGGGGAGGAGGACTTCCTCCGAGCGCTTGTCCTCGGCGGCGTTGCTGCTTTTCTGCCGCGGTTTGAGGAAGGCCTGCTGCTTGCGGCCCATGTACTGGAGCAGCATGTCGGAGGCCACGTCGGCCAAGCGCTGCTCCTCCTCGCGGGCCCGCTCGGCTTCCTCCTGCTGCCTGAGCACCTCCTGCTTCTCGGCCCGGGCCCTCGCCTCCTCCTCCATGCGGGTCAGGCTCTCGTCCTCCTCCTCCACCTCCTCCTCCAGTTCGCCGCCCTCGTCCTCAAAGTCGTCCATGAAGTTGCCGCCCTTGATCGGGCCGTCTTGGGAATGCCCCTGCCAGTGAAGCTTCTTCCCGGCTCGGGCCAACTGCGTGTTGTACGCCTTGTAGCCCTTCAGGGGTGGCAGGATCTCATTGTCTTGGAGGCCCAAATCAATGTTCTGGAAGTAGCCACGGATTTTGCGCCGCAAGGAGCTGTCGTCCCCCTGGGGGGTGGCGGCAAGGAAGCTTTCATCTGACGCTTTCTCCAGGAGGTCCTCGGCCGACCGCCCGCGACCCCGCTCCTCCTCAAAGTCTTGGATCACCTTATCAGCCTCGGATTGCCTCCTTATCTCGTTGACCTCCAGCAGGTTAGCAGACGCCTCCTGTCTCTCGTCCCACTCCGGGCTCGCGCCCGCCTCCACCGGCCAGTCCAGAGCCTGCAGGAGAACCGAAAGCGCCCGTGCCGGGTCCGATCCCAGCTCCAGTCGCTCGTCCCCGTCCTGCGACGTGTTGTTGACGCCGCCGTCTTCGCCTCGGGGCGGCGGAACAAGCACCGTCTCCTCCTCCTCCGCCGCCTCCTCCCCTCCCTTCGCCGTCCCTCCGTCCTCGGGTTTGGCCCATGCGGGGGCAGCGTCGGTGGCCAGCCGCAGAGTGACGGGGAGCAGGACCAATAGGATGAGGCGGGCTGAGGGGGGGGCGTGATGACGGGTCATGACCATGCAGGGCAGGCAGGAGGGAGGTGAAGCAACTGTGGGGAGGGAGTGGGGGTGGAGGGGGGGGGGACACAAGACGCAGGGCAGGCAATTACTTAAAATACAAATATTTAATTAAAAAAAAAAAGACATTTTCACTGAAGTGGCAGATTAAATGCAAATAAACGGTCACTCTCCAACATGAAAACACATTCTTTCCAAAATCATTTGAGCATGTCACGATGAGGAGGCAATGTTTTTAAGCGCACCGTCGTTTCTTCGCCGAGCCCACACAGAAATGTCCTCGTTTTTTCTTTCCTTTCTTTTTAATTTTCATCCTCTTTGTAAACGTGAAGATTCGCTTCTCGTTCGCCTCCGCCGTGATCGCACGCGCAAATAGGGGGACGCTTTCAAGGCAACGTTTTCTGAGCGAGCCATTTATTTTGACGCACAGAATTGGCGCACCGGAGCCCGTTACCTTTTCCCCCACCCCCACCGCCCCCAAAACGCCCACGTGCCAGCCATTTTTTTTTAATACCTTCACGCCTGGATGAGATTGTACTTTTTTTTTCTTGTTTTCAAACCAAGCAAATTGTCGACAAAATGCGGGTCTCACCTCCTCCGCCTCATGCGAGCTAACAAAGCCACAAGGCAAAATAAATGTTGAATAAAAAAAATAAACAACAAAAGGTAAAGAAAATGAAATCCTACACAAGTCCCGTGCGTCAAAGCGACGGCGCCACGCAGCGTGGAAGTCACGCGTAAAAAGCTGCAAGGCACGCTTGAGTTACTTTAACCCACCAGACCGCCCCCCCCCCCATTCCCCGTCCCCACGTACAGCCACCCTCCTCTTCCTCCTCCCAAGCAAATAGCAAATTATCTGGTTGGTCCATTTGACATTCGCCCCCCCCCACCCCCCCCCCCCACCGCAATCACCTTCTTTGCAGGAGGAGAGTGGGTGCTGTCATTAAAACAAAAAAAAAAATGCTTTGCCCTTTTTTTTCGTAGCGTGGGCACGTTTTTTTCCCCCCCTCCCAGTCTGCACACTGTGGCGGAATCCACGCGAGCTCCAATTTTTTTTTATCCGCTCTACGCGGCAGCATCTTATTTGTTTGTTCATTTATTTATGTATATTATTTTTCCGTTTGGTCATTCAGAATGATATTTTGTGAAACGAAACACGGACCCCCATCCCCCCCTCCCCAGCCCCGTCGCGTCTCCCTACGTCATCCAGGCACGTAAATTGAATTAAAATTGACAATTATAATCTATTAATCTATTTAATGGCTTGTCTTACAAAATAGACACGATTTATTTGGATACATGTCATCGTTGGGGAGGTATAGTAATAATAATAATATTTTTTTTAAAAACGAAAACATGCGCGTTGGTCGATCTGTGTAAAAAAAAAAAAAATCAATCTGGCACGTGCCAGTGCGGGTTAAAAGCGGGTATAGACATAAATTTCGTTTGTTTATTATTCATATTGCATTATTATAAAACATAAGAAAACGTGAGATACAAGGTAATGTTTGCAAATTCATTTTTTCTTCATTTTCTCTCCTGAAATAAAACGCCTCAGTGCTGATAAAACGCGCAATGGCCGATAAGCGTTCATAACGCCACTAAACGATGAATGAATGAAGAAATGGATGAATGAATTTTTTTTCACCTACCTGGGGTCCCACTATAGTGGGGGGGTGGTGGGGGTGGACGAGCGAAGAGGGAGGGGGGGCGGGGGGTCAAAGTAAAGCCCCAAAATGAAATCTCATCGAAACTTGAGAGAATTGAAGCTCTTCTCTTTCTTTCTTCTTCTCAGCTTGGGCGCGACATTTAAGGCTATTCCTAAAAATGTGACACTTAGCAAAAGAACAAAAAAAAAACCCAAAAACCTATGGGTTGTTGTTTTTCGTTTTTTTTTTTTTTGGTCACTTTAACGCGTGCAGCTAATGTATTGTAGTGGATGTTTTCAGCACCACGGCCAGCGCAACTTTATTGTATATACCCTCCGTGG